TATGTATATATATTTGTTATATATATATATATATATATATATATATATATATATATATATATATATATATAATGCTTTATTATGTTTGTCTCCACTCGCAGAAGTGCTGCAGGTGCGTTATGTGATATGATATGACCATGTGAATCCTCATGTTCTGTCTTTTTGCACATGTACAATTAATCCCCGGACAACAAATGTTAGTATTTTAACAGGTCACAGACAATTATCCTTACTAATTTAATTCAATTATAAATTAAAATGATCTTGTTGGTTAACGGTTAATAATCGGTTAACAAGCATTGGTTGTCGGTTAGGAGAAATAACCAAAATGAACATCCCTACTTGGAGGTCTTAAGACTGGTGTCCAAATAGTTATTTAATATATGCAAAGCCCTTTGTTGGCATGGGATTCTTAGATGTCCAAGTACATAGACAATTTTACAGAAGAGTACCAGTTGCACCCACTCACTTGATTTTTAACGTCTGATTAAACTGTTCCACTAAACCATATGTTTGTAGCTGGGAAACTGAAGTACAGCAACTAGCACAAGCCCATTACAAGCTGGGATACATTCATGGTTCTATAATAACAGTATTTCGATGCTGTTATAGGAACTCGTTTATAAAAATATGATTTGCAATTTAAAAGATATATTCTGGATGGTTTTGTCAGCAGCCCTGTCAGATGCCTTTTCAGTGCACTTAAAGGGAATCTCAATCATATGTGGTGTCAGAGGACTAGGTAGTGACCTCTGCATTGTGAGAACACTTAACATCATTTCAGATGTCATAGAACCTGGTTCAGGCCCAACAGCAAGGAGACAGACAGATCTACCTACCCAGGCTCATTGGAAATACGTGCCACTACCTACTGCAAAACTCAAACTCAAACTAAAAAAAAAAAAAACTATACCTACGAATTGCTGCAGTTTCTAGTTGAACAGAACACTAGAGGCAGTACAACTCTGACAACTTTTGTTCCTTTCACAAAAATTATGATTTACAGGAGTTTTGATTCAGAAAGCCTAATTTTCACATTATTATGTTATGACCTCAAAACAATTTTAAGATTCTGTGAGATTTGAAAACTGATACTTTTAAACATTAGCATCACATATATTGTACAGCTTCACTGCACGATGTTCGGCTGTCCCAGACGAAAGATTGGCATTGTGAAACAATCGTAGCAATTTCTGTGATTTCTGTGTCGTACAGGGATAGAGGTTCAAAGACGGCCATTGTAACGGTCTTGCAACCAAAGATAGCCTACGATACAGCATGATCATCGCACAGTGTGTTTGCTGTTACGATTCACGTTTACTGACCAACCAATAAAAATGCGACATGAAATCAATGCGACATGGCGCTAAAACATAAAACTGCTTAACTCAAGCTCTTAAGCTCTTTTACCGCATGACATTTTTTTCAGCACATAAAAATACAACTGCTAAATGGTGATTTATCATGCTCTTTTGGTTTACCACTAGCACATGCTGATGATGTTTTTTTCTTTTATAGTAATGTGCGTCGTAGCGCTCAAGTCAATAGGTGTTGTCATCGTACAGTCTACACACACATCGTAGCCAAGTTTATTAGATCCATGTTGCACAGTTTGACATGCAGTGATCTTATAGGATTGCTAAAATCGTGCGGTGTGTTTTGGGCTTAACACAGTAGGTTTGCTTGATAGCTCTCATTTTGCTTTTGTTAACACTATCGGATAGGTTTAGTTTGGGGGTTTGTTATTTTCCAACATGATAGAGCATTAACATTTTAGCGATATTCCTCCATTAGTGACATTTGCATTCTGAGCAGGCACAATATGTACCTGGAGCAACAAAATACAAACGCCTCAATATGTGCCTATACCAACATTATAAAAAACGTGTGCACGGTCACGTATTGAACGTGCATTTTAGCGCCATTTACTGGATGTTTCACTTTGAAACTTCCACAAAGCAAGCAATAAATATGTGTTTATGGGTTAGGGTTAGGGTTAGGGTTAGAACATGGGATATCACCCATGTTTCAGAAACGTCGCCACAAGCACGTATTCTCAGCCTGGGTTGGTTGCTACACTAAGAAGCTACTTCTCAAACCCTCTGCAATTGGGATTATTTTGGCCAGGATTTAGCAAAGATTTCTATGGACACAGATGATGGGAATGGTTCTAGAGGTGTTTGTAGCAGCTGGTGATTATAGCTGGCTTGGCCAATGTGACTGCTTTTCCCAAAACTCCCTTCCCATCAAGCCTTACATTGTGGATTCAGGAAGTACTGTACATGTTAAGGATATCTGTGTCATGGGAGATGTTCTATGTACAGCATGCCAACATGTTTCATTCGTAAACATCCCAGGGTCATATAGGCTTATCACTGTGGCTCAGCACAACAGGCCAATGCTTCAGTTTTGAGAGCCCCTCAGGACCAGTGTCTCTAGGGTTGTGGCTGTTCTGTCTCTCTCTCCTGCTCTCTGGCCAACATTTGAGTACCTCATGCCAGCTCTACTGCATGAGCCAATCCCAGGAACATCTTGGGGTATTTCATGTATAGCACAGCTTTTCTTCATTGTGAGGGAATGCAGGAGGCGAGACAAAATAATGACCTGTAGAGATTGTCTTGGACCATTGGAGTAAAATAATGTCTAGGTGGGATGGTCGAGACATGGGAATGCATAATGTATTTTCATTGATGTTTCCTAAAGTAGCCCAACAAATCATGATATCTAATGCAGACAAATTTCTTGAAATCTAATGCCATTTTATGGGATCATTAAACTACTTTACACTATACTTAAACATGCAAATGATATGCAACTTGCGGTGCCAAATATAATTGCTTCAAACTGGTTTGAGACAGTCCTGCCTGATATTCAAATAATTTGGTTAGCCAACATTGCTATCTCAGGCCATTCAGACAAACAATCTGCAATTTCATTTGGTGCCACTAGTGACACATACATTGCTTGGTGCAATTTTAACATAAACTGTAAAGACATTTGTACATGGGTTATGTAAAAAAAAGTAAATTTGTTTGCCTTTGAAACTCAGCCAGATGTCAGTTGGGATTACTCCCACTCAGCAAGGTGTGTGTGCAGTAAACCGAATAAGAAATCTCAGCTCATTTGAAGATGCTTCTCAGTGGATATTTTGTATTTGTACAGGAGGAGCCATATGTCATGCTTAAGAAGTCTGACAAGGCACTCGTCGGCAATGACCGCTTTGAGGGCTTCTGTGTTGACCTGCTTAAAGAGTTGGCCAGCATTCTGGGTTTTTCCTACGAGATCCACCTGGTGCCGGATGGAAAGTATGGGTTTCAAGATGATAAAGGCCAGTGGAATGGGATGATAAAGGAACTCATGGAACACGTAAGTATTCACATTGCACAGCATCATAGTGATTAAGTAACAGACATCACTAATGCTTTTTCTGCTGCGTCAGATTTACCAGTACCTGCATCTCTAATTATGCCTTTCAATTTAATAAAGCCTTTCTCTTAGTTTTCTGATGTCTAAACAAAATGCCAAGATGACACAATAACGCAATTATCTTAACGTGTTGCTCGCTCCAATACTGCTTCCTCTCACAAAACGCATGCTGCAAAGGTGACGGAACACACCTGGATCGCATTGACATACCGCGAAGACATGGCGGCAAGTGCTGCCACAGCAAATACAAGTGTAAACGCCTCTAAAGAGTCAGCAGAACTAGATAATGCTGAAAGCTGTTTCCCTCTATGTACCCCCAGCCCATTCTCTCAAGTCTCAGTGCTGTCAGGCTGGGAGTGTAAGCCCTGTCACAGGAAAGGGTGCTGCTGTGCTGGCTTCCCATCCCATCGCCCTTTCACTGTCCTCACCCTCTGAGGTCACCAGAAGCCCGGGGCTGGAGAGCTGTAATAGCTTAAGTGGCATTTAGTGGAGGACGTCATATGGTGGGAGTCAATGGCGAGGTGCTGGAAGAGTTGGGAGAGGTGACTTACTGCAGTGGCACTTAATCTTCCTTGTGCTTTGGCCAGATCCGGCCCGATTGCAGTCACCTTGAGGGGAACAAAGGGATTATGGCTGGAAGAGTCAAAAATGGAGATGGGATATGTGTGTGTGTAAATGGCTGGAGGTGAAAAAGTATAAGAAGTACATAACTATCTTGTCAAATGTAATGAAAAGTAATAACACATAGAATAATAGTCTTTAAAGCTTGACATTTGAGATACTGCAAGGTGCAAATTATGCAGGGTCGAGGCTAATTTAGACTTAAACTCCAACAAATGAAGTGGAGTGCGGGTTTCAGCATGAAAGTATAAATGTTTAATGTTTTTGAACCTCATTTAGGTATACTGTATCTACACACATAAACCACAGTATTACATGATTAGGGAGAAAAAAAAGTGCAGGACAAAAAAGTCAAATAATAAACAAAGAACGATTATAATGTCTGCACATTGAAATTACAGTGAAATTACAAAAATGTATTTACCATACAGTGCAACTTTTTGTGTCTGATGAAAACCTGACTGGTTAAACGTTGCACTGCTTGGTGAATGCATGTTGGAACTTTAATTTTATTGTGCAGACATATATTTTATTATATGCTGTTGTTTTTTTTAAATACTGCTTTTCACCATATAATCTACTGATAATGAAATTGTAATTCTATCATCTTTTGTATGCTGAAATACTAATGACATACACTGCTCAAAAGTTAGTAGTCAGTAAGATTTGATTTAATTATGTTTAAATGTAATTATATTAAAATATTAAGCAGCAAAACCGATTTCAACTGTTACATGAAATCAGCATATTACAATGATTTCTGAATGATCATGTGACACTAAAGACTGGAGTAATGATCATATGATATCATATGAGTAAATTACATTTCAAAATATATTCAAATAGAATATATTTATTTTAAATTGTAATAATATATTACAATACTGCTGTAGCCATGGTAGCTACATAAGAAACTTCTTTCAGAAACATAAACATTTTTTTTTATTGATCTAAACTTTTGAATGGTATTGGATACCTTAGTCTATTAAATTTAACACCTTACTGTGAAACTTAATGAGACTTTTTGTAAGTCTAATTATTCTATGCATTTGGGGTACACCACATCTTACTGACAACTCATTGAGCCAGTGTCATATGTATGAGGTAATTATTCTTTGTATGCTGAAATACTAATGACATACACTGCTCAAAAGTTAGTAGTCAGTAAGATTTGATTTAATTATGTTTAAATGTAATTATATTAAAATATTAAGCAGCAAAACCGATTTCAACTGTTACATGAAATCAGCATATTACAATGATTTCTGAATGATCATGTGACACTAAAGACTGGAGTAATGATCATATGATATCATATGAGTAAATTACATTTCAAAATATATTCAAATAGAATATATTTATTTTAAATTGTAATAATATATTACAATACTGCTGTAGCCATGGTAGCTACATAAGAAACTTCTTTCAGAAACATAATTTTTTTTTTTATTGATCTAAACTTTTGAATGGTATTGGATACCTTAGTCTATTAAATTTAACACCTTACTGTGAAACTTTCACATCTTACTGACAACTCATTGAGCCAGTGTCATATGTATTTACAGATCTTCTTTATGCACCAAGAGCTTGTAACACTCCAAAGAGAAAGGAAAACTTTAAATTGCACCATATGACCCCTTTAAAATCAAAAGTTGTGTCTCTTAATAATGCAGTCGTATTAGTCAGACTTTATTTTAAGGTCAAATTATCACTATTAACTAACTATTAGCTATGTGACTTTTGTATAATATAAACTCGTAATTTCTGCTTATTAATAGCTAGTAAGGTAGTTGTGAAGTTAAGTATGTTGCACGATTAAAGGATTTAAAATATGTTCATGAAGATTGAGGCATTAATATGTGCTTTATAAGTACTAATAAACAGCTAATATGCTAGTAATATGCATGTTAGTTAAAAGTGAAAATCGGTCCTTAAGATAAAGTGTTAATGAAAATATTGTCATCATTCACTCACCCTGTTGACGTTCTAAACCCAACCCAAGCTCACTGAAAATATGTGGTTGTGGTGGCATTTCTGCAACACCGATATTACATGCATTATTGCACATGTCGTGGAAGTTTCAAAGTGAAATGTCCAGTGAGTAGCACTAAAATGTGTGTTCAATATGTGACCATGCCCACATTTTTATTACATTGGTACGGGCACATATTGTGCCGTCTTTATTAGCTTGGTTCAAGCAAGTATTCAAGCAGAATTCTAATGTCCAGGGAGTGTCGCTAAAAGGTTAATGCTCTACCATGTTGGAAAATAACATACCTCCTACGCCAAACCTGCCCGATAGTGTTAACAAATGCAAAAGTGATATAAAAACGCATTCGTTGATGCAACCGTGCTATTTTAGCTTCCTTATACGGAGGTTTGAGCCGTTTTGTCAAAACGTAGTTTCATGGGATTCATACCGAAGCGCTTCACCTCACAAGTGCAATTCCTTATCGCGTGAGCTACGGAAGAAATCATCTGAGTTAAAAAAAAAACCTCTCAGCATGTCATAACATAATACTGTGCAAGGAATTGTGTGAAAATGAGCTTTTCTTAATCCAAACTCTGGCCTTGTATATCATACTTTGTGTGAAAACGAATAAAAGTTGTCAGAGTTTTACTGCCTCTAGCATTCATTTCAACTGGAAACTGCAACGATCTGCATGTATAGGTATAGGTTTTTGAGTTTTGCAGAAATGTAGGTAGAGGCACGTATTTCCAATGAGCCTGGGTAGAATACTAATAAACAGCCAATATGCTAGTAATATGCATGCTAGTTAATAGTAAGAATTGGTTCTTAAAATAAAGTGTTAACGCAAATTCTGTCATCATTCACTCACCCTGTTGATGTTCCAAATCATATGGTATTCTTTTTTGAGTAGAGGACAAAGTCGATATTTTAAGTGTTCATTTTAACACAATTGGAGCACTTCAGGGCTGTATAATTTGCCCAGAAGAGTCTATTTCAATCAAAGCCAGAGCGCGACAGCCAAATGATGGTGGTGTTGATTGCCTCTCTTTGATATCCGTGCCCTATAGACCTTTATTCATGGTTTGAGTACCACTCCTCAAGAGCTTATTGTAGAGTCCCGGCCTCCAGGATACAGTCCACCCTGATTGGCAGGTCGGAAAAGGTTGCAGTCGCACCACTGTGGTGACTGGCCTCAATCTCGCCCTGCAGCTGAATTGCTGAGTGGCTGGAAGATACAAGAAACTCCCGAGGGAAGCTGCCTTGGTTGCCCCCTGCCTTATCGCTCTTCATCTTCACACGGGCAATGTGGAAAAAGGAGAACTGGTGGGTGGCAAAAGCTATTCGCCACTTAATACAAGCTAAAAGACTCTCCTCTTTGTGACAGTCAATTTCTGCACCTGCCACAGCATTTTCAGTTGGTGTTGCTGATGTGAAGAAAGAGGAGAAGACATGGACAGTCAATGACAGATTGAGAATGACCTCGTACCACTCTATCCCTTCCTTCCAGTGTGCGTCGTTAGGCAGTACTGCTGTTTTAGCACACTTAGCACCCACATTAATGAGCTTTTGTCTGTGGTTAGAGGCTAATCCAAATTACTGTCTCTTATGGCCAGAGCCACACAGACTCTGCCACAGCTCAGCTCAGCAAATTTCCACAGAATTAGAATGTCTATCATTCACAAAATGCATTCTCAGCCTTGCTGCAAAAGGCATTCAAGTGGACGCTGTTCTTCTTTCATGTCAACTGCTTTCATAACTGACTTAGTTAAAGCAGGGTAGTTAAATTCAGAATGTTTATTTGTTTCTCAAAGTGTGGGACTCTGAGGTATTGTAGAATTTCCTAGCTCTCAAATTTCACGATGATGATACACGTGATGTTGGTACACCTCATCTCTCGTCCTTCACAGTTGTTTTTCACAGATGAAAGTGTCTTATACCTTTGAAGTGACATGAGGGTGAGTAATGGGCAAACTATGCCTTACAAATTGCTCTTGCAAAGCAGCATAACTTATTTAAAGTTCCACTGAAGTGTCTTGAAATTCACAGCATAATTCAGTGTGGTGATGCAATTTCCCCTGAAACAATATAAAATATCAAACAAATATCGAGTGGCTTATCCCCATTTTTAAAAATAGCGTTTGGTTCAGGCTGGCAGAGCAGCATTTGACAGCTTGTAATGTCAATAGAAGTCTAATAGATTCCCTGGTAACACTTTAGACCAGGGAACAAATATTCACTATTCACGAAGAGTTTTCCCACAATAAACTCCTAATTTGCTGCTTATTGATAGTAAGGAAGGTAGTTGTTGTAGTAGTTATGTTTAGGTATAGGGATCTAGTCCAGTTAG